TTTCCTCTCACTTACAGTTTATTCTGTTTTTTCTTTTCTTTTTATAAATAAGCCACAATATCTGAAATTCCTTGCCATAGCCAAGAATCCCCTCAAGCTTTCAATACATAAAATGCTTCAACACTGACAGGCAATGACCCCACAGGTTCATCCCAAACCTGCAGATGTTTGCATGGTCAGCCAGCAGACATGACATGACCTCAGCATCCTGCCCCCGGGATAGGCTCAGCACACAACTAACTCACGCTCACTGTTTCCGTGTATTTTGCCTGCCTGTCTGTATCCCATCAGTTACGTCTTATATTTTGGTGATAAATTCTCGTGCAGAGAGTAATTTTTGTTCTGTATTTGGGGAACAGAAGGGGTGCTGATTCACAACTAGAACTCCTCAGCTTGGTAGCAGCAGGTCAACACAAACTCCAGCAGGTCTGCAAAGCATCACGTGAGTACAGTACGCTTTGGGTACCAGAAGCATTTTTACTGTTTTCTAATTGAACTGTAGCAGCTAAAGAGTCTCAGAGACCCAGAATGGTCTCCCTCTCCTCAGCATTTCAGATCACTATCAAGGCTGGGAACGTGAAGGGCACCTGAACCTTGCCACACATAAATCCACATAACCGAACCACAGAAAAAAAACTTTTAAGTGTCGGCAAGTCTGACTCAAGCAGAGAGAAACTTGATCGGGAAGGAGCAGGAGGGGATAAAGTCAACAAAAATTGAAAGGAAGCTCAAGCCTCAGCTGATATTTAAGCTGACTTCACTTTGCTGACAGATTTCACATCTGAAAAAAAAGGCCCCGTGACTGTTCCTAAGCTGTACGTGGACAGAGAAGTCATTGAGCGAGAGGCCTGCAGGCTCCTTAACAAACCACTTACATCACAAGGGGCCCCGCTTGCCCACAGTCTGCTGACAGCAATTCACACCTTGGCCTTCAGGTGAGGAGGATCATTCATGCAGCTTGGGGAAGCAAAAACAGGGGCAGAATTCCCTATCATCATTTTATATAATAAGCAAAAGAAAAAAAAAAAGCAAAAGAAAAAAAACCTTCTGCTGAAGAGAACTACATTCCAGGAATTTTTCTATCTAAATCCCCAAAGCTTCCTAAGTGCACAAAGTCAAACTACGATCTCTCAAGTCCTTTGAGTCTTGCAAAACTAGCACTAAAAATGTCTCTGAAAAAGATCAAGTGGGGGGGTTTTGTGTGTCAGGACAAAAAAATGTGTCGCTTTTATTGAAATCAAGAAATGAAAAAAAGAATAAATGTCTTTTGATGAGTTAGCATCTTATTTTACATACATTTGCCGTCAGGTATGCAAATTACACAGAATAAATGTACAAACTTACACACAGGTTTGTACTATGCCATAAAAATGGCAAAAAATTCTCTGCACATATTAACAGAAATTTGTGGGAATTGAATAGTCATGGCATTTACTACTAGAATACAGAACTTCTGTTTGAAGGGTGTTTAAAGGCTGAGTGAAACAAATCTTACAGGTTTCGTTCAGTTGACATCAGATAGATGTAATGATGCAAAATCCCCCATCATCACCAGCATTCAGTGGCCCGCCATTAGCAATGATAGCAGTACAACTGAAATAGCAGGGAGATCAGATTTTTCTCATTTCTAGCATACATCTAGAAGTAGCCACTATGAAAGTCCCATCCATTCCATTACACCCTGAAGAACAAAAACCAGACATACTGGTTTTTCCCCCCATGTATTTCATGTCTCAACCAGTTGTGGATCAGAAACTCGCAGAGACAGACAGAGTTTGCATTTAGCGAGTGGCAATGGTTTTTCCCTTCCACCAGTTTGCCATGTCTCCCCTCATAAACTTTTATTGACTGTGACATCCCGCAGCTAGTTCTGTGGCTTGACTGCATGTTGTGTGTGGAACACAGCACATCCTTCGGTTTGATCTAAACCTGGCTCCAACTAGTTCTGTTTGCTGACCCTAGTTCTTCTGGAGGAGGAAACAACTAACAGTTTGCAGTCACTCCTTCCCTGCCTCTCATTGCTTTACAGATTCCTACTTCAGCTCTTTCACATGCCGAGAGTCCCAGCTGACCCAGTTGTTCCTTCTCGGAACCCTCTCCAGATCTACCATACCTTTCCTGAGCTAGAGGGGATCAGAATAGCAAACACGTTGATGCTAAATGGAGGCTCTGACAACAGCCCTGTGGAAAGTTCCTTCAGTGACATCTGTCTACTAAGCAGAAGAAAGTATTAACTAGCACTAGCCCCCAGAGAGGCTCTTTCCTCCAGACTAGCACTCTAACAGCACTTAATTCCCTTAAAAAATAAACATGAATATTAACAGTTGGGGTGTATTTCAACAGCCAGCAAAGTCAGCTGGGAAATCCATATCATCAGCTTCCCTAGTATGGGACTTGGCATGAACTGCATACACTGTCACCCCGAAAGACAGTCTCACGGGTAATGAAGGGACCATCAAACACTATCCCAGCTCCAGGACACTGAAGTCAGCCTGTTCCAGTCAGACTGCTTACTGGAAACTTTGCTGTTGTTGCCAAGGCCAGGTTTATGGAGGATAGCGAAAGCCTATGGCCAAGCTAGAAGGTTTAATGCCAGCTATGAAATTAAGCTGTCATCTTAGAAAGAAGCATATATTTATTATACACGCAGGGTACTTAAAAGCCTATTCGCTGTTTGAGTTAATGGTGGTTGCAGGCACAGAAAGATTAAAAAAAAAAAAAAAAAAAAAGGTTTTCATTCTTTCCCTGTACTAAACATTTAGAGAGAGAAGAACATTTAAGACAGCAAGTCAGTAGGACACAAACAGCCTTCCAGGACCAACGATAATATGGTAAACCCCCCCCCTTTTTTTTTTTTTAAAGACACTGTCACATTCCCCTGTTTTCTGCCATCTCTGCTTTGACTTAAGACAACCATCAACAAAGAAGCTGGCAACAACTTGCCAACTTGCTGTTGCTGGGGAGCGAAACCTTTGGGAGACAGCAAATCTAGATTACAACAAATCCAATGACAGCCAGAAAAAGATAGAGAATGCGTGCACACACAAAGGAGAGAATCACTGGCAGAAATATCCATTTTACCTTAACTGCTCAGCTTTAAAATGCTGTTTGTTCCTTCTTACTCTTGACTGCTTCTAACACTCCTTAAAACATTTTTTTAAAGTAGTGTCTCTGAAGCCATGAGCTATTGCAGGAAAACAGGGCTTGGACATCTGCAGTTGTACATTATTTATGCAACAATTTTCCCCTAGTAATGGCTTTCTAAGAAATACATGGTCAGATTCATAAAAAGGTCTCGCATTCCTGGTCCCTTAAGTACACACATTCAAACATACATCTAGTGCCTGCACAATAAAAATAAAAATGATGGATGAGGTAAGGGACTCATCTGACTGTCTAATAAACTAGATGGTTATTAAAAAGATAGCTTTGTAAGGTAAACAAACAGCCTGAGAAGAGAGGGTGTCTAGCAGCATCTAACCAAAGGCTTGTGCTTAACAGTTCTCATGCTCAGCTTGCAGGGCAGATGCAGCCAACGCGCTGCTCTGGGGACAAGGCAGCCTCCCCCAGCTGCTCTCCTGATGCAGAACAACTCTCATTGCTATCAGAGCCAAAGGACCAAGCATCAATCACCGGGGCTGAGAGGATGCTGTTGGTGACTAGGGCGGGACATAAGGAAGATCTGCCATCCAACCACAGCAGATTATTTTTTTAATATTACTCTTCTGCACACAATTTTTTTCTTATTAAAAGAAGAGAGAGACTGTGACACCAAAACCAACCAC